TCGCCCTTTCATTAGTATTCCTTTTATATTCTATTGCTTTTCCCATCTTTCTATAGTTGGCAATATAAGCATTCTCATTGCAATTTACCATGCAAAACATATAGATATTCTTTAGTTTAGTTTCAATGTCATCTGTGAGAATGAATACTTCAAACCAACTATTTTTATATGTCAATTCTTCACTCCCCAAGAATAAACAAAGTTCATTATAAAGTTCTAGGGTGATCAAGTTATTGCAATATTTGGACACGATTCAATCATGAAAAAGCATGCACTGGAAATTAAGATGACCAACCTTATTGCAAAGTTCACAAGTAACAGGACAAAGAGAACATAATTTTGTAGCAAATTCATCTATCACTTTGAGCAAAGAATTGGTTTCATCATGTTTATGCTTCTTGCAAAATCTATCTTGCCTATAAGGCATGTCTTCACAAACTTTATGCACTTCACAAAAATTGACATGCTTATAAGAAAAAAAATTGTCATGACTTGTGCAATCATCATTAGCATTTTGGATATTCAAAGAATTCATACTAACAACATTGCAATCATGCTCATCATTCAAATATTTTGTGCCAAACATTTTATTGACTTCTTCTATCAATTGAGCACAATTTTCCGATCCATCATTTTCAAGAAAGATATTATAAAGATGATCAAGAATATGATGCAATTTCAATTCCATTTTTTTGTAGTTTTCTTTTATAAACCAAACTAGTGATAAACAAGAAACTAAAAGATTTGATTGCAAGATCTAAAGATATACCTTCAAGCACTCACCTCCCCGGCAACGGCACCAGAAAAGAGCTTGATGTCTACTACACAACTTTATTCTTGTAGATATGTGTTGGGCCTCCAAGTGCAGAGTTTTGTAGGACGGTAGCAAATTTCCCTCAAGTGGATGACCTAAGGTTTATCATTCCGTGGGAGGTGTAGGATGAAGATGGTCTCTCTCAAACAACCATGCAACCAAATAATAAAAGTCTCTTGTGTCCCCAACACACCAAATACAATGGTAATTTGTATAGGTGCACTAGTTCGGTGAAGAGATGGTGATAAAAGTGTAATATTGATGGTAGAAAAATATTTTTATAATCTGAGTAAATAAAAATAGCAAGGTAGCAAATAGTAAACGGGCACAAACGGTATTGCAATGCTTGAAAATAAGGCCTAGGGTTCGTACTTTCTCTAGTGCAATCTCTCAACAGTGCTAATATAATTGGATCATATAACCATCCCTCAAAGTGTGATGAAGAATCACTCCAAAGTTACTATCTAGCGGAGAACATAAGAAGAAATTGTTTGTAGGGTACGAAACCACCTCGAAGCTATTCTTTCCGATCGATCTATCCAAGAGTTCGTACTAAAATAACACCAAATAATTTCAGATTCATAATACTCAATCCAACACAAAAAAAACTTCAATGAGTGCCCCAAGATTTCTACCGGAGAAACAAAGACAAGAACGTGCATCAACCGCTATGCGTAGATTACCTCAACGCCACCTCAGGAATCCGCGAGTTGAGTGCCAAAACATATATCAAGTGAATCAAAATAATACACCATTGTCACCACGAGTATTCATTTGCAAGACATATATCAAGTGCTCTCAAATCCATAAAAATATTCAATCCGATAAAATGAAATCTCAAAAGGAAGACTCAATTCATCAGAAGATAGAGAGGGGAAAACACCATATGATCCGGCTATATTAACAAAGCCTGTGATACATCAAGATCGTGACATCTCAAGAACACGAGAGAGAGAGAGAGAGAGAGAGAGAGATTAAACACATAGCTACTGCTACAAACCCTAAGCCCCGAGGGTGGACTACTCCCTCCTCATCGTGGTGGCCGCCAGGATGATGAAGATGGCCACACCGGAGATGATTCCCCCTCTGGCAGGGTGCCGAAACGGGCTCTAGATTGGTTTTGGGTGGCTACAGAGGCATGCAGCAGCAGAAATTCTAATCTAGGTTAACCCCGAGGGTTTTCGGAATATTTGTGAATTTATAGGGTAAAGAGGGGGTGCGGGAGGGCACCGAGGTGTGCACAACCCACCTGGGCGCGCCTGGGGCCCCAGGCGGGCCCTGGTGGGTTGTGCCCCCCTTGGGGCACCCGCCAGGTGCTGTTCTGGCCCATTGGTGGTCTTCTGGTCCATAAAAAATTCACAAAAATTTTCACAGTGTTTGGACTCCGTTTTATATTGATTTCCTGCGATGTAAAAATCATGCAAAAACAACAACTGGCACTTGGCACTATGTCAATAGGTTATTACCAAAAAATGATATAAAATGATTATAAAACATCCAAGAATGATAATGGAACAACATGGAACAATCAAAAATTATAGATACGTTGGAGACGTATCAGTCACCATGTGTGATTATTGACTTTGGCTTCACCTAACAGTTTGCCCTCATAAATGTCTGCATCAGCCACACATATGTCCCTTCGGTCTCGTTAGAAACAATGGCACAACCAAACACTATGGTGCAGCGGTGGTTATTAACTCCGGCAAAGGGGATGAACGTCATACCATATATTTCATCGTATATGTGTTGTCAAACTCGACCACATCTCCGTAGTCCTACTAGTCCCTCTTTGACCGTGCATCGCACCAGAACATACTCTTCAGTCGCCCTTCCTTATCAAGCACATACCCCAAAAAAACTCAAGGCCCTTCTCCTTTCTGCTCCTCATAATGCCAACTGTTGTCTCGGCATCACCCTTTGCAATGAGCTTCATTTTCTCTCTGTAACACAGATTGTAAATGTCTCGCCTGATAAGCCGACACTTATCGTACGAACTGTATCTACACATGAAGTTGTCCATTATTATATACTTCTTATCCCATCCGCTTCCATCGCCAATATCTCTGCCTCATGCCATCTTCAATCTATATGTGTGACCATAAAAAACAAACCTCGTCGGGGCGAGCCATGCGTGGTTGTCATCATCCATGAATGACGCGACGAACCAAACACCGCGTTCTCTGTCCAGCTTCACCACCATCTGTGCACCGCAATCATAACGAGTCTCGGTTCTAAGCATGCGCTTGCGGCCCTTCATGATTATGAATTTGTTCTCCCTTCTCCCTGCCCTGGAGCAAATAAACCGCCGGTACCATATAATTCCTGAACCACCTTTCTCTCGTTTCACGTTATGTTTCCTGATGCTAAACCAATGCTCTTTGTCGTGCTTGTTGTAGAATATGTATGCATCCCCTTGCAATCGAAATGTCATAGCCATGACCTTCCAATGTGTCTCCGGCATCTGCTCCTGCCTTTGAGCCTCCTCAATGTCCATCTCCGCCTCATCGTGATCACCGCTAGGACCATCTGACTCCTCCTACAAAATTACATATGAAACTATGTCAATTATTATCATTTATTTCATACTATTACGCGATGTACAATATGTATGAACGAACCTGGCTCAAGTTATCTGTGAATGATTCCTGGAAACTATTATGCACATTGTCAACATCCACATCTTCCTACAAATTAATAACATAGACAAATAGTTAGTCTTGCCATACTTTGCAAATTCAAAAATGAAATCAAAATATACGCCACTTACGTTTTCACTACTCACGCCATGTTCATTATTATCAAAATCATCCGAAGGTAAAATATCATATGACGAGCATGAATTGTTGTCGCTGTTGTCATCATCTTCGTTAATACTATCGTTATCGGTCTGAGTCACCTTATCAGTATTATTCTCATCCCCCGCGAATGCGGGTTGTTCGTCTATGGCAACACACCCAACTCACAAAACTGCACAACATTGATAATTTATCTTGTGTTAAAATTCATACAGTGGATCATGCCCAAGAATAAATTGCAACACTAATACGATTTCAAATATTTTTTACAATAACTACATGAACTAAATTACTTCCATCCATCATGCTAGGTTTAGATGCCAAACCTTGGGCCACGGTGTAGATATCGCCGGTCTAGGTCGACGGGCCTTCAGGCAGGGGGGCTCTGACTTGATTGTAGCCGGCGGCGACGTGGAAGACGACGAAGCCGCGGGATTTCTGACCGGATCCGTGATGGGGGACGACAGCAGTCAGTCGCAGCGGATGTGGCGTCGGACGTCGGGCCGTTCACATCCGCCATGTCGGACGAGGACGGTGAGATGCGGCATTGGAGGAAGGGGGGGAGTGTGATCGCCGGGCGGCGTCGGACGGGGTTGGGAGCAGCGTCGGACGAACGGGAGGAGCGTGCTCGTCGGGCGGGCGCGAAGATCGTGCAACTTCCACGGTAGCCTGTAGTGTACAATACAAGGTGGGCATACATTTCCTC